CAAAGGCACAGATACGAAGGGTTAAGAATACGGTTTCTAATGCGCCTTCGCATTGTACCACTCGCATCTCTTCAAAGCGAGCGCTTAAACGCACTAGTCGAGGATAGGTGCCCTGATCCGTCTATACCCTAGCGGCACTGCAGCTTGCGGCTTATTGTACCACCATTTAAAAGTCCTATTACTTTCACCAATTCACTCTGACATTCATTCCACGCCCTCGCTGGTTAACGGTTAGTCGGATGAGTCCCATGGTGACAGCCCATGGTGGAACCTCCCGGCTACATGTTGCCATGTGTCTGGGAATTTATTTTCTCTCGCATTTTTGACTATGCAATAAAACGGCCACGTTCGAGTCACACTCCATATAGAAAATGCAACTTCGATAATATTTCTTTTGCAGAGGTAATAATCACTTGTGAGGTGAGTTCACTTCCTTGTTTGGTTTCTGTTCAGGAGCGTCGGAGAGAATTGGATAAATATAATTCCACATAAATTATTTTATTTATTGTTTTCTTTTAAAATTGATTAGACGTCATTTAAAGTGAATCAGGAGTTACCTAGCTGTAGCAACCCTTGTGCGAAACGGCATTATTTTTCGGACGCGAACATTTTTCAGATTATACAGTGGGTGAAGCAGTAAAATTATGCGGGAAATTAACGTAAGTTTTAAACAGTACGGTTTATCGAGCATTAAAAAACAGAGTGTAGAAAATTAAAAATGCAGGATCGAATATAAATAAAGAAAAAGTGGGATGTAACAAACAATAATTTTAGATGATTGCGTTAAACACGCGATTCGCCAAAAAAATTATTCTTTTTTTGTAATGAAATCCCTACTGTGAATAAAATCAATGCCGAGATACAGAGGGAATAGTAATTTGACAAAAATATTGCGTCGAGTCTTAAGACGTTAATTTTCGTTATTGTAAGAGAAAACGTGATGGTGCACTATTGGAAAAAGAGGAAATCGTTGTTTGGCGTAGAAACTATTTAAGGGAAATTCGTAGATATCACAATAAGTGGAAAACATTTGGACGATAGCTGCCAAACCTGGGTTAACAAGGGTATATAATTACAAAAGTTTGGCAAGATTTAGAAATTAAAAATCAGAGATGCTTTCTTAAAGGCTCTCTATGGGATTGAAATCACCTCTGGGTAAAGAACGTCGTTTAATAATTATTCATACTGGCGGTGATGCCGGGTTGGTTGAAGCTGGACTTAATGTTTTTGAATCACAAAATACTGGAGATTATCACAAAATGGATTCAAATGTATTTCAAATTCAAACGCGGTTTCAATCTGCTTTATTTTATTTATTTATTTACGGGCAAAGCCCAATTCGGTTTAAATACAATAAGATATAACAAGATACAATAGAATATAATAAAATACAATAGTGCTGACATAAAAATTAAGAAAAATACAAAATAAAAAATAACATAACATATTCGTGCGATTATATAACAAATTGATAGGATAAAACAGTAGACACTAATGTAAAAACAGCAATTAAAATTATAAAAAGTTCAAATGAAAAATATGAGATTACAAGTGGCATTCAAATATTATGTGTAAGTGGTTCTTAAATCTCTGAACAGAACTATCAAAAAGTTGAATATCATTAAGAGAATTAGCTAGTCTAAGTGTTCTAGTAATGAATGTATTAAAAGAATAATTGTATCGGTGAAAAGGCACATGGAATGTTTGAATTTCTCTAGTAGTATGTGTAGCACAAAAATATTGACTCTGGCAAGGAGGCCAGGGCAATTAAATCTGCCATTGATAATATTGGACAATATGGTAAGATCTTGTCCTTTCCTACGAACTTCCAGAGAAGGTATAGTTGTAATTCCTCATAATTGTAGTAAATGTTAAACTTAAATGCTATGTATCTAAGAAAACTATTTTGAACCCCATCCAGTTTACTTTTATGACTTAGGTAGTGTGGGAACCAGACTGAGGAGCAATAATCAAGTTGTGTTCTAACTAAAGAGAAGTATAGAATTTTAATTTTGTTTAGATTAGTTGTTCTCTTGACAAAGTCTAGCATTTTTATTGATTTTTGAACTGTAGCGGTGATATGGCCATTAAAGCTCATGGAAGAGTCAAAGGTGATCCCTAGATCCTTTATTTAAAATAAACTATAATTATACAATATTAAATGATGACTGGGACAAAATCTGATAATATATGACATTTGTTAGTATTTAAATCCATGCCATTACTAGAGCACCAACTTGCTAATTTATTTAAATCCGATTGCAAAATTTGAGTGTCATCATAATTATTAATGATCTTGAAGCACTTCAAGTCATCTGTGAACAATAGAGCTTTAGTGTCAGGAAAGCAGGTTGTGATATCATTTTTTTTGTTCAATTTTGAAGCACTTTTTGGGACTCTGAACGGTTGTTAATATTTTTTTATTTTTTTTTTCAGAAAGAATTTTACATAATACATTGCATTATTGTTCATGTGACATCCTATACAATAAAATTTAAAATTATAACTAAAATCATGTTCCTTGCCAAAAATAATAACCCTCTGCCAAATCCGGCAACATTTTATACACGCATTGTGAAATTATTACCGAAAAAGCAAAATAATTTCAAATTTGACACCTTCAACTTTTTAATTTTTAGTATTTTATTAAAGAAAGTTGAATCAGATTTTAATATTTTGAAACTAACACTACCATTACGCTATGGGCCATTATTTACGAACCATCGTTGTTTATTTGATATTCAGATATCATATTATAGGGCTAATCGTGAACCAACTCTTAAAAAAAAAATGGTAACTCACCACGGTAATACCTCAAGAGGTGGTTTGGAAATGTACCACGAATAACAGACCTCACTTTAATTGAAAAATTTTAAAATAATTTTTGTATTAAATTAAAAGGCATATTTGTCCTATACATTTAAAACATTAAACTTGCCTGCCACTGGAAACTCCTCCTACCCCGTAAGCTCCAAAAATCTACAAATTTTGGAATGCTGACCGATATAAACATCCCACTACACATTCCTGAGATTTTCCCGCTGTCTATTATTTTGAAACCATAGTATAAGCTGTTCCCTTACCACTTTTACAGAATTTTCTACATAAACAAAGCAAGTTAATTTAAAATTATGTCTATGTCATGTAAATATGTATTAAAAATTCTGAATTTTACTATTATTGCATACAATATAATAATATTTTGATATGTACACACAAAACTAGAAAAATAAAATAATCTGTGTTTACATAAACTATTATTTTGTAATGTTCTTTTTATAAAATTATCTACTCTGAATTGTAGGCAATGGAATATTTTTGTAAATATAGACTATTAAAATGAATCATAGATATTACTTCCTATTTATTTTTTGTTCAGAAAAAAATATTACCTATCACGTCTTGTACTATATTTATGTACATCTTTAAATGTGGTCAGTATTTCCCTAAAAAAAGATGGATAAAAATCCATATTAATTATAAAAAATGGCAAAAATTTTACATTTCATTATAAATATAGACCCAATTTTTTTTTTTAATGAAATAGTTATGTATATAAACTGAATAGATAAATACCCATTTTATTAGTAATGTTAATGGTAAATTTCTCACAAATACATAGAAAATTAATCAAACAAGACACATGCTGAAATTAAAAATTAGCAAAACTAACTGTGTCTGCCAACCATGAAATATTACAAAAATAGTTTGCATATTTATGCATAACAATAAAAATTGTATTTTCATAAGTTTAGAATAATGATTTTAGTTTATATCCCTTACTATATTTTACGTGAATAATACAGACATATTAAAATGTAACAAATCTATTACTGTTTTAATAAAGTGGAATTCAAAAATATAATTCTGAATGTCATAATACGCTAGTTCCGTGTGATGCCATTTTGGTTCCACTGAGATTTAATTCTAACCAAACTTTTAACGAAAACATCAATAAATTTGACATATACGTTTTACTGTTTTTAGTTTATTTCTAAATATTGTTTACAAGTCATAAAAAATAGTTGGTATGTAATTGGTAACTAAAATATTGTATATTTGATGCATGTTATCTACTTACTTTAGGAAAATATTTATAAAAGTGAAAAAACGATATACTTTAGGTAAACAAAACGCGTACTCAAAAAATCTACTGTCACTTTAATTGTCAGTGGAACCATAATTACATCATCACTGAACTAGCGTATTACAGTGACAAAGGTAACCTCAATAACAGCAGTAACCCCTGTACGGAAATCACAATTTGACACTAGAAATATCTTTAAGTAGGTTCAAAATTCTATTACAAATAAAGTAATTGGTAATTGACAAAGATAGTGTTCCTTTAACTTTACATCAGAAATAGTTAAAACAAAATATAAAAACATTAAATTTTCTATAAAAAGACTCTTGAAATAATAACCAACTAAACAACTGATGTTCTATTAAGTTTTGTATTATTTTAGATCAGATATGGTTTAAGTTAAATTAATCTGAAGAGATTTAAAAGTAATAAAATAAACCAAATTTTACCATTTTCTAGATCAGTTCAGAGAACTAAATGAGCCGAAGGTTAAGTTTAGTATTTTTTTATATTTGTAAAAAGTCTTATGATAACTTAAAACAAAAAAAAGATGGCAGATTGGCCATTTAGTTACAAGCTGAAACATTTTATATTTAGTGAAGTTTGGCACTAAAGCTGGATCGGTTTTGAAAATTGACTGTTTATTTTGTAAGTTTAAAAGCCACTCCATAAAATTGTTTGGTTTGGATTAATAAAGCCAAGCAGCCTGAGTCACTTGAGTTTCTATCCTGATCGAAAGGTTAAAATAAACATAGCAAGTAAATCGTTTATTTGGTCTAATACATAATAGGTAAATGCATTTATTTTTTTAAATATTTCAAGGTTCTCAGATAAGATACTAATATTATGAGAAATAAATATGAAATATTAATTTTAAGGCTGCATTTCAAAATAAATAATGTTTAATAAAACTTACCCCTTCACCTTAGCAGGTGTCTCAATATGAGATAAATCAGCTGCAACTCCAGGTGTGTGAACAAGATCATAAAGTGACAATTCACTAACTAAGGGATTTATCTTTAAGAGTAAAGAAAGGGGTTGGCCGATACCTCCAGAAGCTCCACATACTGCTACTTTATAGTTGGCCTAAAAATTAAGTCACATTAGATTAGACTCTAAATGATGATTTAGAAATACAGAAATTATGGTAAGTGCAGGTTGTAATTAATTGCAAGTTATATAACACAAAATAATAATTGTATATTTAAAAAATGTATCTTAATGCATAGTACGTTTTAATTACCCACTGATATGCACTAAAAGAACTAGAGGGCTCATTATGCAATTATTTAGATAATTCAAATTTAAAGTTACAACTGACCATTGGCTCTTGAACACATCTAAAAACAAATACTAACCTGTTTCGATGTACTGAAGTTTCTTGCTGAGATTACGCTAGGTCTTACGAGTCTGGAGAACATATTTTAAATTTTTTTAAGGGTTTTAGAATAAAAAATTTGACCTTAGCTTAACTGGAGGTCGCACGTCACTCACTCCACAAAAATCAAATGTAAAAGAATCGGCCACGAATCGGCAAGAGCAAGAAGCAAGAGAAAAAAAAGTGTCAGATTAAAATTATTTTTCAGAGTGTACTAACACGTCATTAGTCACGTGTTTTAGCCTTGATCTCTTTTGGTACATGTTAGTTTTTTACAGCAAATATGATAATACCATAGCTTTCAATTTGATAATGTGTAATCAAATGCTGCGTTTGAGAATCCACATCGGATGCATTTTTTACATCTCGAGCGTTTTTTTATCCACATCGGACACATCTGTCCCATTACATTTACGTATACTGAATCACGTGATCAAAGATTTTTTACATCTCAGATGCATCCGATGTGGATTCTCAAACGCAGCAAAAATGTTAAATAATTCATATTCATAAAATTAAACCACCTTTACATTTAAATCACCGTCAGCTAATAACGCGTTTGGAAAATTGGAAAAGAAAAAAACCATCTCTAATAGATAACGGTTCCTGTTCCGAGCTCAGCCTCAGATACAAAGTAGATAAATAACTCTCACGAATTGTTTTGTTTGGTTGTATTACGTCCATTTACGATTTTTTGACAATTGGTTCCGGCATCCCATTGGCGATTTACAATTTAAACACTTCAATAATTTGTTCTAACCAATTGTGTTACATAGCCATTAAAGAAAGATAGAAAACTAATAACAAGACGATGGTCACATGGCCAAACAGTGTCGTCTCTCAGGGTGCTTGTATATTATTGCGATGTTTTGTGTTAGATATTTAAATTTTTTGTGAAATCTATTGTAAAATATTCAGTCTATTAATTGTATAGCTTGGGTAGAAAATACCTTAAAGTAACTTTTTACAGGTAAAGTAATAATACTTCAATCATTAGATTTTTATAAAATCTGGTTCCTGCTTTTTCAGTTTAGATTAATAGGGTGATTTTTAGGTAGGTACTGCAAAGTTAATATTATTTAAAATATTTTGTTGCCTATAGGAATAAGTACAAAAACTCAATTTAATATCATCTTCCTCAGCAGAGTCGTATTTCCACATCTTCCACGAAATCAGCAAATTTTAAAAATAAAGATTGCCTAAAAGGTAAAATGCAAATTTGATTATTTTTTTTATAATTATCGTCTTATTACCTTCTCAACCTTGTATTTGAAAAAATGTAAGTTCAGAGAAGAGATAAAAAAAGTGACATATATTCTGATTTCATTACTTTGAGACGTGTAAATTAAATAATATTGCATTTTGATATATAGGTATTTTTGTAGATCTGATTTATTTCAACAAAATTTCAGCCCATTGACTGACAATACTAAAACTGGTTCAGAAGCTAGACACTTTGGCCAAGGGTCATGCGATATGTGAAGTTGAAGTTTTAGAGAGAAAAAAAACGAGAAAAAAGTGGGTATTTAAAATACCATAGAAACGAAGGGCAACAATAGTAAAATAATAGGTTTGTTCCAACAGCGCCTTTCTGATGTGTCTCTGACTCGTGCATGGATGCATTCGTAAACTAATCACTGCGCATGTCAGCCCGTTTATTCTTCCGTTGTTTAATCAGCGACTTGTCCTTGTTGGAACGCAAAATGCAATGGAATTTGACAAACCAAACATATTATGTTTGGTCAATTGGTATTTTAAAATTATTTAAAATACAACAACATACATTTATTTAGCTGTCTCGAACGCTCATGTGAATGTATAATTTTGAAACATTAAGATTGTTTATTTTTATTAAAAATAAGTACGCATTTTACAAAAAAAATCCGCACACAAGATAAGAACAAAAATTATTCATTTCAATTAAAAGCAATACAAACCCAAGCCACTCCAAGCTAACTTAAAATCCCAACAATTACAAAAAAATATCACGAACGAGAAGAGACGTTCAAATGCGCATGTGCTGATAAATTGTATAGAGAAAGTAAAAGTTGAAAAGTCTTTTGGTAGGTAGAGAGGGGGTAAACGTCAAACCACGTCGGGCGGCTCCGAGAATTTCACAGTAATGTTTACCTGCCAGTGTCGTTTCATAGAATAAGTAATTTTAATTTTTATCGGCGGAACCGGACAATCGCATGTATTTATGGATTATAAATAATTATTAAACATGTATTATAATATTCAAATTATAATTTTACAAAATTTCAACAGCTATTCACAATTTATTAAACTATTTACTCGAAATTGTTATTAACATCTATAAAATAATTTTGTACGCCAATGTATCGTGTCCACTTCGGTGAGATCCGCTGACAACCTGTCAAGTTATGTGTATAAAGTGGGAGAACTGGCAAAAGCATTTCCAACTTTTACTTCTGTTCGAGAAAGTAAAAGTTGAAAAGTCTTTTGGTAGGTAGAGAGGGGGTAAACGTCAAACCACGTCGGGCGGCTCCGAGAATTTCACAGTAATGTTTACCTGCCAGTGTCGTTTCATAGAATAAGTAATTTTAATTTTTATCGGCGGAACCGGACAATCGCATGTATTTATGGATTATAAATAATTATTAAACATGTATTATAATATTCAAATTATAATTTTACAAAATTTCAACAGCTATTCACAATTTATTAAACTATTTACTCGAAATTGTTATTAACATCTATAAAATAATTTTGTACGCCAATGTATCGTGTCCACTTCGGTGAGATCCGCTGACAACCTGTCAAGTTATGTGTATAAAGTGGGAGAACTGGCAAAAGCATTTCCAACTTTTACTTCTGTTCTACAAGCGATGAAGCTCTGATCGTTTTGACAATCCGCCGACTCATTCATGTACGAATCAGAAAATACGTTGGAACGTTTTACTGACAGTTCATCGGATCATCCGTGGCTCTGTAGGAACGGACTATTTTAAATGCGCATGCGTCTGACGTCCTTCTGATGATCAGATTCGCTGTTGGAACAAACCTAATATTGCTGCGTTTGAGAATCCACATCGGATGCATCTGAGATGTAGTAAATCTTTGATCACGTGATTCAGTGTACGTAAATGTAATGGGACAGATGTGTCAGATGTGGATAAAAAAACGCTCGAGATGTAAAAAATGCATCCGATGTGGATTCTCAAACGCGGCATATGTGTATTTAAAAATGCAGTCAGTGCCACTTTTCTAGGATATACATACCTTATAAAAAATAATTTTAGCTCTAATTAATCTGGTTCAGTAACCTTTTAAATAAGTATAAAATACATTAAAATACATAACTGTTACCTCATTCCATAGTGATTATTAATATAGATAAAGATTCGGTCGCCGCGCTCAAAGCCCGCGATAAAAGCTATGCAATAGCTTAAAATTCACCAATCACAGTTCATATTTTGGACACTCAACTACTATTATTTTTAAAATTTTAAATAATTGACAATTCTGTCAAATTAATTGTCTGTATATTTTTTAATTATTAAGATTAAATAATTAAATTAAAATGAGTTATTTTTGTGTAGACTCGATAAATAATCGCAAATAATAGCTTTTCTATTTTTATTTGAACCATATTTTGAAAAAAAAAAAAATTTATATTTTAATTACGAGTATTAAAACTAAAATCGTAAAAGTGGACGTAGAGGCATGGACAGAGTGCTTGACTTCCACGCGAAAAGCAGGGAATCGATTCTCGGCTGGCGACAATTTTTTTTTCATGTATATTTTATTTTAAAAATCAGTAAAATTCATAAATTATTTTAAAATTAGTTATTTTGCCTTAATAACCTAAAATATTTTTTTTAATTTGTAGATTTCCGTCAGTGGGTTGTAGAAAAAATATACTGTACAACTCGAGTGGATTGTTCATATCAATTCAGACTCTTGAGCACTTCGCCTACGGCGTCGTGCCCAAATTTCGACTGGTCCAACACGATCAGACGACTACCGCATGGTGGTGTCACGAGTTGGATCACTTCAGGAAGATGGCTAGGAAATCCTTTAATAAGGCAAGAACCACAAAACTCAAAGATGACTGGGATACTTCTCACCTCAGAGAATACAAAAACTCGTCAGACAAAAACAGAGAGATGCATGGAGATCCTACTGCGAAGAAATCGAAGATTTCCCGCAGGCAGCGAGGCTTCAAAAAGCTCTCTTAAAAGATCCACACCGAAGAATTGGTACGGTAATCAAAGAGGATGGCACGAAAACTGCCAACCTCGAAGATGGCATCAAACTTCTGCTGTCAACACACTTCCCTGCCTCGGTCATCACAGACATGGCCGACTGGGCAGAGGAAGAATACAATCCGTCTGTCTATGTTTGGAAAACTGCCAAACACATTGTAGACGATGAAAAAATTAGATGGGCAATATCCAGCTTCTCTCCATTTAAACCGCCGGACCTGACGGTATCTATCCAGCACTACTTCAGTGGGGTCTGGAAGAACTACCGCACCTGGTGGGTATATTCAGATTCTCGTTGGCTCTATATATCCTCTGTATATCCCCAAAAAATGGAGAGAGGTATAAGTAGTATTTATACCCAAACCTGGAAGAATAGATTACACTGTACCAAAAACATACCGACCAATTAGTCTTACATCGTTTTCCATGAAGACATTGAAAAGGCTATGCGAAAGGTACATAAGGGATGCGGTGATTACAACACCACTACACCACAGATCTACTGATTCAGCCCTTCATCTAGTTGCTGGCCGGATAGAAAGATCCCTGGACAATAAGGAGTCCGCCTTGGGTGTTTTCGTAGACATAGAAGGCGCTTTTGATAAAACCACCTTCCCAACAACAAGTATGTTCCACAAATAGTTAGTGGGTGGATACATAACATGCTCTCAAAGCGAACAGTAAACATACGTGTAGAAGATGTGGATATAAGATGCTTGGTTGCGAGGGGATGTCCACAGGGAGGGGTGCTATCACCTCTACTGTGGAATATGGTCCTCGACATACTCAGCGAAAGAATGCAAGTAGCTCTAAA